TTGCTTGTTGCGCACGTGAAGGTTTCGGGGTATTCTTACAGTTTCCCACGGATCGAAAAACCCAACTAAGACGGGGTTCGGTTTGGGAAGAATGGTCCAGCACCCTCTCTTCCACACCTGGGGTCGGCATTCCTTCACCTTATGTGTGTTTCATTTGAACTCATGGCCGACTATTAGGTATGTGACTAAATCATTAAGTGAAAATGGCACGTGCCGCTCTGGTGTTGGTCATCATTGCCGTGGCTTTTAGGAGAAACCGTGGTGCATGCAGCGAGATATATGTCACGCACACGCGTATGACAGCATAAGAAGTGTGACAGCAAAGATTTCCCAATTGAGCCCTGCTAGCAGGGCTCAACTTCATCGGCAGAGGCCACATCAAGATCAAGGAACATTCAAATAATAGTACCAGTGTATTCCTTTGACATGGCAAAAGCTTAACATTACAAAAGCGATAGACCGGTGGGACCGAAGAGGGGACAGTTTTCTCCAGATTCCTTCGTGTACTGACATTCAGGTTGGTACCAAGTCAGGGAATTGCCGGCTCGAAATTGATCTAGGGCAATGCCTGATCCAGGACCGAGTTCAATTTCGAATTCTAGTCAACTCATGGTTTCAAGTAATAAGAAGACGAGAAAAGCTGCGGATGCTTCCCATCAACCGATGATATGTTGGTCATGATTAGAAAAAATATGCAGTGTAAAGCGTTTATCAGATGAGTTTTACCGCAAAACTAAATCACGACGTCGTGGCTTTCAGCATTCGACTGATACATCTCTACTTATGAATGTCTTTTCCTGAATGAATGGTGTCGAATGCCTCATTCGAAGCACAAAGCACAACCAGCACAAAGTGTAGCCTTATAAGCTATATGAACAAGTTACGTCATCACCGAGGCGACAAAACCTGGCGGGTATAGTATGCATTTGGTGGCTTCCATCTTTTCCTTGCTAATCTTCTATTTGCATCCATGAATATAGCTGCTTTACCTTAGATTTTTTAGTGGTCTTGAGCTGTGCTAGAAGTTTTCGTTGATCTTCATGCCTTTAAAGGAGCACATGGGTGTGGTGACAGGGGACTTGGAAGAACTAGTTACAACAGGAGGGTCAATTTTTGTAACTTACTGGGAAGGGACAGAACCGAAGGCCCGGCAACCTACTCCCCCATTTTTTCTCCGGCTTAAGCCACACTTATTTTGATTAAATACAAAATATGTGCTAAATTTCTGTTTAACTTATAAATCTTTAATTCAAGCAGTGTAGAAGTCATGCAGAGTTGGACCTGGGGAGCACGCACCGGAAGCATGCGTCTCTTCTGATCGGGCACGTGGAGGCGCCCCTTTGGAGGCCACTTTATGGCGGGATGACGCTTTGCTTACGGCGGTTGTGGGATGTGACACGCATTTTGGTTGTAGTATATGTAGTATATATATTGTAGTATATTTTGGTTGTAGCTTTTTTGTAGGATTCCAGCCAAAAACATTGGGAGGGGCAAGCCAACATAGGGGGGGGGGGGGGGGCAACTCATCACTGGGGACCCAGGGCCCTCACAAAAGAATGCAGATCGACACCCGTGAGTTACAACATTTTTTTGGGCCACTTGTTATCAACACATTATCCACCTGCGTGAACATTTTTCCCATCATTAATCATAGCCAAATAATATGAAGAATACCAATTACCGGTTACTATTAGTTATAGTTGGTTCACGGCCAATGATGGGCTAGCGCGATTTGGTGTGCTTTTTGGTCAGTTTTGATCCCGAATTAAGTCCAGCGCATGCTCGATGGGAAGTAGTGCGTCGTGGTGCGAAAGAGCATAAATCGGGATATATCAACTGATTTTTGTGCTGTAATTTTCGTTCCATAAACATTAAGTTTCAACGCTATGCCTACCAAAGGTATGCGGAAACAATTGCCCGCCACCAAGTGCGAACACCACAAAAGCATGACCAAGGCGCGCTCGAATGATGGCTGGAATTCAAAAGGCAAGCACGCTTCAGTTGCACAGTTAAAGTTAACATCGAGTGCCCACAAACATGCAATACAGTACATATGATCTTGCAAGCAATTCTTAAACACAGAAAGGCTGATGCAGTAACGCAATTGTTCCAGGTGTGCAGTGCGTAAGCAAGACGCAGGGTGCACCAGTCCTGCAGCCTTTGTTGTTCTTGTCTGGAGCAGACCGTTCCTCGGAGGCATTACACATGCTGACGGTGTGCCAATAATGTGCCGTGCCCCCCCCCCCCCCCCTCCTCCCGAGTACCACGCACGCATAGAAGAAACTCCATTGGGCTGATTACTTTGTCCAACAATTTATTCTCCACACGATCTTCACTCCCATATTGCAATACTTCACCCCCCCCCCCCCATCCCATTGTCCATGGATCAAACGTGCAGCTGGTGTCAGAGTGACACATTTTCAAAGTTGAGACGACAGTTGTCCAAGTTTGTGCCACATGGGCGGCACCAGCTCCCGACCCAGCGCAAGGTCGTGGCGCAAACAGTCGCAGTCCGGGCAGCAGGCTGACATGTTGGTAAGCTAGATTGCCGATGCGTTGACGGCAAGGCGAAAGTTGCGCTCTCGCGGATATGTCCGCGCACCACAAAGGGTTATGGAACGTTCTGGTGAGCTGACGGTACTCACGACAACAGCACCAAACATACCTGGTTGGACCGGCCGATCGGGGGAAGGTGTTCGGGTCCGGCTCGCTCTGACCAATATGATTGTCCCTTGGAAGGGCCCGCAGCAGTGCCGACAGACATATGATGACAGGAAACGCACACCTCATACATCCCGTGAGCTGCCATGCAATACTGAGAGGCCCCAGTTGCACCGACGTGCCGTCTTCGATAGTCGCAGGACCTGCGATTTACATAATTCTCAGATTATCCCATCTCGTTCTCAGTCAGGTTTTACAGCAGGCCAGCCGCGGTGACTGCCTTTACGTTGCCATCCGAGCACGGTCAGAGACTGCCACCCGTGGCTGGCATCAGCTTGGTCACTCTAATGCCCTGGTGCAATCACGGTCCCGGTTTGACGACGTTTCGCGACGTAACAAGAACGCATGAGCCGCTGCAGCGGACAAGCACCGATGATAGCCGGCCCTCCGTGGAGGGAGACCTCGCGATGAGCCTTAGAACAAACGGGAACGGATTAACTAACGAAGTACGAGTGGCGTTGGCCTACAGAGTGATACGCGACGGGGTCAAGGAGAAAATAATTCCTGGCAAGCTGGGACGTGCCAAACACGAGGATCACGGAGCCACCCACAGGCGTGCCAAACACGAGGATCGAAATCATTTGACACATTTTTGAGTGAATATACACCAGCAGTGATGAACAGAGACTGAGAGCCATGAAGCCATCTGCCAACTGGTCTCAGCCTGGCAAATGCTGATGACCGATCAAACGCGACACCACGCCGGCTCGCACACGTGACGGACGCGATTAGGCCTGAATAAATAAACAAGATATGTCTGCCAAGTTTCAGCGGACTGGTCCGCACCTGTCAACGACGTCAGTGGGATCAACAGGAAAGAAGCCTCGCTACGCGAATCGGAGCGACCGCACGGGATTCCCCTGAAAATAGGCCTAGGTCTTACGCGCTAGTGCTAACACCACGTGACAGCACACATGAACGTTGTGTTCTGTCGAAAAGACGGCGAAAGTAAGCGGATTGGTGTAAGCACGAAACCACAAGACTGAAATGAAAACCTATGCAAAGCACCGTGTTCAGAACCGGTTATACTGAAATGCGTGCTAGGTATGTTTGCTTACCATATCAACGAACAGAAATTGAATTAATAAGCAGAAATCTCTGATTGATAGTGATTAAACATTGCACCTTTATGTCTTGCACCTTGTGTGCTTTACGGTGCTGCATCGATGGGAACGCCTAACAAAAGCTCGATGTCCTCGATTTTAGACCCGTGGTGAAGCTAATGTTTCAGAAGCACCACTGCACTAAACCGCATAACACTTTGGATTCGGATTAGATTAGTATGTAGCCGAGCAGTGGTCTTGCCGTCATGGGTCATTTGTAACTGAGGTCTCGGCCGCCTGGCATCAAAGCAGTCGCGGCCCACCGACCAGTACTGATTACACCACCGAAACATGGCCCGAAATGATTGGAAACGTTCATAAAGTACTAAATAAAGTACTAAAAAGCACTAAATATTCTGCCGTTTTTTTCAGCCGCGCACCTTGTTATGGAACGACAGCGACTGCATTGTCGGTTTTGCGCTCAGGGGTCACGGCGCAACCGGGATGAAGACCGCCCCCGCCCCCTCCACGTGGGGAGCGAATCCAGTCACTCCGTCAGCGCGTCCCCGAATGCACCATCGTTTGGGTGCCATGTCGCCATTTCAGCACTTCTTTGTAACACGGCATGATGTTCGCGGAGACATTACACTTTGCCATGCTCTGGTTCGCAGTTTGAATCAAGACAGCTGCAAACACCAGCTAGTTTTTCCTGGTTACAATGCTTTTCCTGAGCTATTGTTTCAGAAGTGAACCTGTCTCAGCGAAGCTCTTCCAATCAGGAGTGCTTACAAAGAGCAAGTTAAATCAACACATCATGTCCTCTGTGGCTAATCCTTATCTCACGAACCGAGTCTGAGAGCTCGTGCGCCATCAAGATCAGTTTACCGCACAACACAAGCGAAAGCTCACGAAAGCATTTGGTGGATCTTGAATTCCCAACAGCCCCTGAACTTCAGCCTGGTGCATATATACATTGTGTGCAGCGAGCGGACGTAAAGCCACTGTACGCTCCATTCCAGCAATTATTTTGAAAATGTCCTTCGGCTGCCAAGCAATAGGAATAGGCCTGAGACCTGCAGCCGAGTTTGTTCCAAACGCGTCGGCTTGCGTGCTGACCGCGGTATGTAAGCACGCCTGACGCGTCCGCCGCGACGCCTCCAAACTCATCGCAAAGTGTCGGCCTCCAATTTGTGATAAGCCGCTCGCCGAAAACTTTATCCAATTATCTTAAATAAGGAAACTGTGAGTTATGATGAAGGCTCGGACCGAAATGCTCTGAGTTCTTCTCCCGCAGTGTTGTGTCGAAATTCGCGCGAGGAGGCTTCTTATAAGTCAGCCGATGATGGCCGGCCGGAGACTGCTTTAATTTGCAAGCCCCGCAAGAAAAACAGCCGAAAGAAGTCGATGGTATTTACCTGCCCCAAGTGGAAGGTAACAGTTTATTCTGTCAGCTGAGGGCCTGGCAGTCCATTTAACTTCGTGTCGAGTCAAAAGGAAGGAAGGCACCGGAAACCTCTGCAAACGAGGCGAGTGAAAAAGCACAGCGAAGGAACGCGCGCCATCTTCCAAGCGAAATCGAATCTAAACTCGTCTGTTGTGCGAGATTGGATGTGACCAGTAGGTCTTGAACTGATCCGCTACTTTGCTATATTTAACGATTTTGAGAATGTGCCTTTCCTCATTTCTACATGGCAACTACTTGCAGAGAAAGAAATGAATAAGTAACTCTTGAAGTTCCCTTTTTGTGTTCTATTTTGTTGTGTGGATTTAAACATACAAGCGCACAGAATATTTTGGTGCATTAACAATGCGTCGGTGTGAAATGTTGTACCGCTTTTAATGGAAGTGTGCAGGTATTGTTGTCATCCGCCGATGCTCTGTGACGAGCAGTTTGGAACGCTCTGCAGCCTGATGCTCTTGTTTGTTTCAGATATCGACAACAATGGGTACCTGGACAAAAATGACTTCGAATGTCTGGCAGTGCGCACGACGATCATCGAGAGTAAGGGCGATTTCACGCAGGCCAAGTACGAAGAAAACCGCAAGGTCATGAGGAATCTTTGGAATGAAATTGCCGACCTCGCCGACTTCAACAAGGTAGACAGACTGCTGGAGCGTGCACCTGCAGTTTGCTCGTGCGCAAACGACGGCACTTTCCTAAGCTCATCACACAACCACTGAGCGTCGTCTCAAGGCTGAGGATGAAGTTGTTTCTGCAAGGTGACATTTCACTTCCAGCTTCTTAGACTGGTGTAACGACACTTGTCCGTCCCGACGGCTCAGTTGGTTAGAGCGCCTGCCTTCCGATCCACCCACCCGTGGGAAGGTGGATTCGAGTCGCTCTAGGTGCTTGCTATTTGTTCTTGACAGACATGGTCTGCGGCCGGTGGCAGCGGCCGCCCTAAAAACAAGGTTACGTCAAGGGTCACGATTGAACATTTCGAGCATTCAGGCACCTTTAACTTTCCCCACCAAATTCTGCTGTGAACCCAGGTTTGTGTGATTGGATGGTAGAGGCCGGCACGCACACGAACACTGCTTAACGTAAGCTTCGATCTTAGGTTTAAATCTGCTTAATCTACACTGCTGCACAAGGACCCCAGCGACAAAGACTCTTAGATAAGTGCTCGTCTTGTGGTGCATTTCAGCTAGAATTTCAAGCTTTTCAACCCGGACGAAAGGAACTGAAGAAGCTTATGCTTCGAAACGCGCATAACATAGTCTATCGAACACGTCATACACAGAAAAAATTCAGTTTGCTAAAGATAAAGTCGATAAAAAGTGAGGTCATAAAATAAAACTCATTGAGACGGCATGGAAGCAAGAAAAAGTTAGAGACACAGATACAAACAGATAATATGACGGAATTCCACGTAAATGGTTGAATAATTCATACTGAATTGCACAGAAAGGGTTAAAGAATTCATTCATCAGCTAATACTGTTCAGTTCATTCATATTGTAAAAACATATACCACCCTTACCGCATTTGCCGCTTGAATGAGCACGTGAACACCGAAGTAACTTTCATTGACGCTTATTCACGGAAAACGCTTATCAATATTGTTTTATTTCTGAGTTATTTATTTGGGTTAATTTTTGCACATGCGCATGCCAATTCCAATTGTTCAAGTTACCACCCGTTAAGTTCACCTTGCCCGTTTCGTTCGCAAACTAGCATGATACCTGAAACTGATGGTTTATTGCAGGATGGTATGGTCACTGTCGATGAGTTTAAAGCAGCCGTAAAAAAGGTTTGCGTCGGAAGAACGTACGCAAACTTTCCCCAGGCATTGAGAGCATTCGTCGAGAAAATTTTCCAAGCGATCGACCTCAATGGTAAGAGTGCCTAAAGCTTTTAGTAAAACGAGCTGCCCACCATCATTTCATCCCCTTTTAGTTTATTCGGGTATTTTTAGTTGGATTTTTTTTCTCATTTCCTCCGGTGGTGGCCAGCTCGTTTGTATAAACGCTTTGCAGTGCCTGTATAGACTGATCTGACCAGAAAAGTACAGCGGCTTGGAATATATTGAATCTGGATCGAACAGGCAGATGCTTGCTGTTTATAATGGGTCATGCATGCTTGGCTTTTGAAATAAGCTAATCAGCTAATCTATTTTTCATAGGTTTTTGCATGCCGGCTAGGTATAAACGCTGCAGTGGGCTAATCGTAAGCAGTGCTTAAAACTCCAATCAAGATGCCGTTGTTAATGGCCATCTCATGTACAAAACTGCTAAGATACCGCGACGTTACATTACCCTACTTGTAGACCCAACAATACCCTTGTAATATCATGCAGAAGCGTGATACATCGCATTTGAGTAAACCATACTAACCTGCAAGCGATAAATTGCAATGCTAAGGTAGTCCAGGAACTACTTTTATAGAAGCTGAACCGAGCAAAATGGCTGTTCAGTTCTAATTTTTCCGAGGTGATGCGACAATGTTGATTATCAAACAGTGATGTTCAATCCCACGACCTGCGGCAGAAAGGAACAACTTCAAAATAAAATTTTGACTCACTTAAAGGAAAATGCATCAATAAAGAGAAGATGCCGCCCCTATCAGCATCTCTGAATCATACACAATTTTTCTGAGAGGCCACTCACTTTAAAAACAAAACTTTGCAAAATAATTACAGCCAGAAAGTGACTGTCGGCAAAAAGATGCATTGTTAAGCAGAATCCGGCACAGCCTCCACGCATTCAAGACACGTTATTTATGGTAAACCCGATACTCTTAACACGCTCCCGGGTGGCCGGCTGGATACCCTTCGCTCGGTTAAGGGGATTCAATTTGACCCCAGCTGAGGCCTCAGGAACTGAGTGAGATAGAGACACCAAAGGTACACGGCGGGTTGGCCTGCACTTTAACTCTGTCAGGCAAAGTTTGAGGTTTGTAGGATATGACTTTTGTGTCAAATAGGGTCAAACAAGGCCAATTTTCAGGTTGATCTCCAAAGTGCTCAAAGAACCTAGGTACCTGCTTTAAGGAAAAGGTTGCATGATCATTTAAGGTCAGTGACCTCGTTTAACCTTTCGAAGGTCGTGGTAACCATAATCATACAAGACTGCTTTGAGTTTTGCATTTGAATAAGCCACAAAGATAACGCTAGGCAGTATGTGCCTTAAAAACAAAATGTTGACCTGGATCATTTTGGGTCAGTGACCTATTGTGACTTTTGAGAAGTGCACGAAAGATGTTGAATTGTTTCCCCTTATCAATAAATTCGAAACGAGCACCAGAATCTACCCCATACAGCAAGCCCTAGAGCAATAAAACAGATTGGCTGCTTTGATCTTAGTCTGACCTTCAAAACTGACCTTAGGTCAATTGAATTTGTTCATTCAATTGTCACGTTGCTTAAGAAAGTATCTCAGAGGTGTATGGCTCGGTCCAACACTCCGTTGTTGCAGCAGATTGCACGATTCCCTAGGAACTGACTTCTCAGAATTCATGGCCTGACTTTGACCTGCCGTAGGTCAACGACTTTAAAAGATGCAACTTAATTCTTAAAACCAAACGATCCGCTATTCAGCTTTCTACAGCTACGCAAAATTTGGCGCCACGCCACGCCACGCCGTTCGGAAACCATTTTGGAAAAGCCTTTGGGGAATAACTTGACCACCACCCGTCCCGGTGTTAACACGCGCTCGGGTGGGGGTCATATTACCCCCCCCCCCCCGAAGATTTTTCTAGAATGGTTTCCGAACGGCGTGGCGCAGCCGCGCTATATTTCGCATAGCTGTAGACAGTTAAATAGTAGATCGTTTGGTTTTGACAATTAAGATGTACCCTTGAAGGTCGTTGACCTACGGCAGGTCAAAGTCAGGCCATAGCTTCAGCGAAGGCAATTTCTTGGGAAGCGTTCAATCTGATACAACAACGCAGTGTTTGACAAACCCACTCATCTCGGAGATGCTTTTTAGGCACCACAAATATTTAATGGGCAAATTACGTTGACCTATGGTCAGGTATGTAGGTCAGACCAAGGCTAAAACCAATATGATTTATTGCTCTAGGGCTTGTATGGGATATCTTCTGGTGATCATTTCGAACTTATTGACAGCAAGAACCGCATTAGACATCCTTCATTGAGTTCTTAGAGGTCAGAACAAGTCATTGACCTAACATGACCTGAGTCGACATTTTGTTTTTTTCGGAACATACTGTCCAGCGTTGTCTTTGTTGCTTATTCAAGTGCAATACTCAGAGCAGTCTTGTATGATTTGGTCACCATGGCTTTGAAAAAGGTCGAACAAGGTCACTGACCTCAAATGGACTTATGACCTTTTGCTTAGATACAGTTGCCTAGGTTCTGGGGGCATTTTGGAGACCAGCCTGGAATTTGACCTTGTTTGACCTCATTTGTCCCGAAGTTCATGACCTACGAAGCTCAAACTTTGACCAAAGTGATTTCACGTACAGATCAAGACACTGTAAATTTGGTGTTTCTAGCTTCCTTGGTTCCCGAGATCTCAGGGAGGGGGTCAAATTGACACCCCCCTTCCCCCACCCGAGCGAAGGGTATCTAGCCGGCCACCCGGGCGCATGTTAATGAGGCATGTCTGCGTTGCGAAGGTCTCGCCCACCACGCGCCAAAGGGGCCTTACTGGTGGTATTACTGATTGTGTGCGCATAGATGTGTGCCTGATGTAAGCAAAATTGAGGTGCTAAAATTGAGATGAGTCTGTCATCGTGTCTCAAAGGTTGAAACCCCTTTTTTGTATGGTTCACAAGCCTACGTCAATGTGCTAATTTGTCATACCAGCCTACAATGGAGTTCAACAATCTTACAAAAACTTTTGGAGCTTATGGGAGATTTAATTTTAATAAAATATTACCATAAAACAACCTTTATTGAATTGGAGCCAAATGAAAATCTGCATGAGGCAAGTGTCTTTGCTAAAAGTGCGTGACTTAGGACTAAATTGACTGGCACAATTTCCTTTTTACAACTATACTGACCATGTCACCACTCTCGTTGGAGCACCACTCTGTTTGTTGATGAATTTCACTCTTGTCATTTCTTGGAAATTCGTAGCTTTTTCTTTCTTGCATTTATATTCGCAATTAGCGCACACGCTGCAACATTTCTCCCTCGGTTATGTTTAGAGAAAGTAGTCTGCCAAGTGCGAGTGTGAAAGGCTAAATTTCAATAAAACTCACCGCGCGTGTTTGAACAATCGCGTTCAGAGCTTCTGTCAGTTATTTGCGAGACACGTGCGGCCAGGGTATGAAAACCGACTAAGGCCCGACCGAACCTCTGGTCCCGTCGTGCGATGACCGCCTCTCCCCGGACCCAGGACGGTGAAGTGTCCGTGGACGAATTCAAGCTGGCCGTGAAAGACGCCTGCGTCGGAAAGCCGTTCGACAGTTTCCCGGGAGCGCTCAAAGCCTTTATCTCGTCCCACTTTTCTACAGTGGACGTGAACGGTAGGCCACCCCTTTGTCGTGTCCACCGTGCGGTCCACCCGCCCGTCCACCGACGTCCACCTATCCGCCGGCCGGACGGACACCGGCGTCTGCGTGGGATGCCCCGCATCGCCGCTCCGACGGCCGTGGAGTGCCTGAGTGCTGGTCCGTCCGTGGCGTGGAGTGTGTGAGTGCTGGTCCGTCTGTGGCGTGGCAATGATAACGCACCTCTGCCAGGCAGCTGCCGTTTCTGCCCCACCAGTGCTGCTATCAGCACGCGCGCTGCGCTGGTTCACGCCCCGCTGCCCCTCACTTTCCGTGTAACGGCGGCTCTCAAACCAATAACTTGCGCGTCAGTGATGTGATGTTCCGAAGCCTCTTACGGTATCCGAATCCACGCCAGTCTTGGGTTGTTACCTCTAAGGCGCTGGTAATTGCATTAGTATAGGCGTTGGTAGCGACATTGTGTTCATCGCAGCATGGAAAGACAACATGCGCAACGCATTTGCATTCAAACAGACCCAAAACCGGGTCAGTCGGCGCAGTGTTTTCAGGTAATATCGATAAGTTTAATTTGTTCATAACACACCAACCAGCCGCGTGAGGATAAAGGATAATAATGTGCGTGCAATTTATGTCATGCAATAACATTTTTACACCATTGCACGACGACGCTGTTGGTTTGATGTGATCTTACGATGTGGAGAAATGTGCACTTAAGATAACAGTGCACCGCCTAAAGATCACTTTTTTAATCAAGCAAGAAAAATCATTTCTCATGCTGGTATCGAGCAGGTCTCCATGACGGCATCCCTGGTCGCGACGACAGGGGTTCGACGAACGCGCTGTCGCATGACTTATGCCGGGCGCGGTAAATTCGAGTACAAATCACCGGGAACCCAGAGACAGTCATATGAAAGCCTTTCGCTACGTCCCATGTCCGTCTGCATGCGCTGCCTCGTTTGTCGTGTGTTCGCTTCGCTTCGAGTCTTCAGCAGACTGTATTTGCGACCACCGTCCGCCGGAGCCCGGCTGCCCGCCCGCCCTCGGGGCGCGTGTGACCCGTGTGGGGAGGGCGTGACCCGCTCACCGCACCACCTCTCTGCCAGGACGGCCAGGTGTCGGTCGACGAGTTCAAGTGCGCCATCAAGGACACCTGCCTGAGTAAGCAGTTCGCCGATCTGCCTGTGGCGCTGAAGGCCTTCATTGACTCCTTGTTCTCCACGTTGGACGTGAACGGTACGCAGACTAGGGGGGACGTCCCGGTGCTGGCTCGCACACGGCAGTGGTAGCCCGGGTCAGGGCAGAGGTCAGCCGGGTCTCGCCCTCCAGCCGACGCAGGACGCTGCCGCTGAGAGCCGCTGTTGACATCCCCGTGGAGTTTGATCTTTACTCGTTGGGGTTGGAACTTTTCGGAACTATTCGCAGTTTGAATAAATGCATGGATTTGACGTGATTGGGTTGCTGAATTTCCAAACCCATCCAGTATGACTAGATTTTAAAATTGGTTAGTCCGAGTTGTGCCCATGTTTATTACATTGGTCATTTCAGCAAAATTGAACTAAGCATTAGTGGATTGATGCATAGCGTTGTGGGGCATTTTTGCCGTAATGTACTGAACTGCATGGGGTTAGGAGCTCGCAGAAATGCGTAGTCGCGTGCGGATTGGATTCCTAAGTGATAGATTGGGCTGAACGGAGTTCTGATAAATTTATTCCGCAAAGAGCTCTGGCCAGAACGCTCTCAACAGCTGGGAATTCTGGCACATCAGCATCGAAACACCGCGCGATGCAGTAATGAGACGCAATATACTTATGGTAATCCTGTACCAGCATTATCTTTCTAGTCTGTTCCTCTATCGGATGACCTTGTTCCATTTGCATCTCTTGTGATGGCAAAGCGGAGAGCGAGGGGCGCGCGAGGGAGGCAGAGGGTATCAAGAACCACGAGACACATGAGACATGCAGGAGACATCAGCAATGTTTAGAACGATGGACTCCCCGCCCCTGTCCCCTGCGATGGGAGGCCAACGGCCCGGCCAGGAAGCGTTCCCCGTGATCTGACGAAATGGGCGCGCACCAAATCACGGCTAACTTCGCCGCTGCCTAACTGGGCCGAGTCCGATTGGTTTGACCTCAGAGCCGACAGCAGAGAGCAGAGCGAGTGACAGATCGCGTTCGTCTGACCATTAAAAAGTCGTGCGCCGATAAATGACGCAATTAAACCGCGCTTGCGGCTGGAGTTGACGGAAAAGCCTTATGGAAAAGACCTGTTGGCCGGCTGGAGTTGACGGAAAAGCCTTATGGAAAAGGCCTGTTGGCCGACACGTCCCGAAGACTCATCAGCGCCGCGTCGGGGACAGATCGGCTGCAGGTGGCGCTGGCGACCCGACGAGAAGGTCAACCCGCATCACCGGACGTCCGGAGCGCGACCGCTCGTGGTGGGAACGGTGTTCAGGACGCCCGGCCCTCTTCGTAGCGTCACTGGCCAGTCACAAAACTGCGCGACAGGACGACGCAGTGTCCTGGCTTCTTCCGAGCCCCGGCGCCCGGGGAGCAGCTCCTGCCCGCGGACGAGCCGGACCTCTGGCGCGGCCCCGAGGCTCCGTGACTGGCCCCAGCCCCGGCGGCCGTGGATCCCGAGCTCGGCCCGTGCCCGTCGCACCGTGAAATGACGTCTCACCTGCACGCGCTGCCGGGAAGATGGCCGCTCCGATCGCAGGATGCGTGCTAAAGCCCCGAGCCGTGCGAAGGCACAGGGCGCGGCCGTCGTCATTGATCCATGCATAATCCGCGGATCTCACACGGCGTAGTGACCTCGCCGACGGCAGCCCGGGTGTTTGTTGTGGCGCAGTAGCCCTGTCCGGAACTCGCTGGTGTTCTATCTGCGCTGTAGTGTTCTAGTAGACGCTTGCGCATCGGAGCGTCAGAAATAGCAACGGCAAGCAAGACCAATGTTGATAGGCTTACAGAATCATAACGCTGCATGCAATGCCGTTGTTGAACATTGCGCTCTGTACCCTTGCGGAATCAAACGCCGGGTGCAGTCGCTTGTATGTGCCGTGGTGGGTCGGCAGCACCAGCACTGACCGCTCGTGCGGGCTCCGGCAGGCGACGGGCTGGTGGGCATCGAAGAGTACAGGGTCGACTGCTGCTCCCGGCAGGCGTACAGTGAAATCCAGCTGCTGGACGACGCCTACAACAAACTGTGCAGCGTGAGTGAATCCGTGAATGTGTCGTGGGACGCTCGGTGAACGTGTCGTCGGGCGTTCTGTGAAGGTGTCGTCGGACCGTTTGCGCCCCCATCGTCCGCGCAGTCTGCGCACATGTCATCAGTTGGTATGCGCACCCGCTGTCAGACGGCCCGTATATCTGTCGTTGCGTCTGTGTATCTTTCGTCAATGGTATACGTACCTGTCGTCAGATTGCCTGTGTACCTGTCGTCCATGGTCTGTGTAACTGTCATGGATGGTCTGTGTACCTGTCATTAATAGCCAGTGTACCTATCATTGATGGTCAGTGTACCTGTCATTAATGGTCAGCGTACTTTTCGTTGATGGTCAGTGTACCTGTCATTGATGGTCTGTGTACCTATCGTCAGATTGTCTGTGTACCTGTCGTCGATAGTCTGTGTGCCTGTTGTCGATGGTCTGTGAACCTATCGCCAGATTGTCTGTGCGCATGCCGTCGATGGTCTGTGTACCTGGCGTCGATGGTCTGTGTGCCTGTTGTCAATGGTCTGCGTGCCTATCGCCAGATTTTTTGTGTACCTGTCGTCGATGGTCCATGTGCCTGTAGTCGATGGTCTGTGCACCTGCGGTCGATGGTCTATACCTGCCGTCGACGGTCTTTGCACCTGTCTTCCATGGCCTGTGCACCTGTCATCCATGGTATGTGCACCTGTTGTCAATGGTCTGCGCACATGTCGTCGGTGGTCTGCGTACCTGTTGTCAGATTGCCTGTATATCTGTCGTCCATGGTCTGTGTGCCTATCGTCAGATGGAAACCCGAAAAAGCATACCTTTCGCTGCATGACCTGGTACGTACCGTCAGATGCTGTGTTTAGCGGATTAACACTTTGCAATGATGATATTTTGCACATATGAACTACTTAAACTCTGCAACACCAATTGGCAGTTTTTAGTTACGCCTACACGTAATTTATACAAAGACATCGCCCGACAACAAAGATGATGTATGGATTGCTAAAATACATTGTCATATTCGACATGCTATCAGCATAAGGGATCAGGCAATAAGGTGGTAACCACCCACACTGATGACCTGGTACGTACCGTCAGATGCTGTGTTCAGCGGTGTAACACTTTGCAATGATGATATTTTGCACATAAGAACCACTTAAACTCTGCAACACCAATTGGTCGTTTTTAGTTACGCCCACACATAATTTATACAAGGACATCGCCCGACAACAAAGATGATGTATGGATTGCTAAAATACATTGTCATATCCAACATGCTATCAGCATAAGGGATCAGGCAATAAGGTGGCAACCACCCACACTGATTGTAATGGGGGGGGGGGGGACTATAAACCATCCTTTCTCATTGTCTGAATTACGGATGTCCCCTTCCTCCAAAATCATCTAGTCAGTAGCCAGCTATTAAATTCGACTGCCTCGTAAATTGGGGCAGACTATGTAAGCCATGTCATCCAATGCGACGTAAAGCGCGTGGGACCCGCCGGGGGGGGGGGGGGGGTCTGTCTGCCCTGTAAGGTGCCGTCGCCATCGGAGCGGCAGAGCAGTGCCAGCGTGGGTGCCACCCTCGCCTGGCGCCTGTCGGCCGTGGTTACCGGCAGAGTCGGTCAAGCGCGGCCGAGTCGACCCCGGCCGGCGCCGCCCCGGCCGGCGCGGGTCGGGTCACCGTCAGGACCCGGCAGAGCCGTGCCCTGGCGGTGACCCGGCAGGGCACGGCTCTGTCGGCCGGTATCTGCTGGGTGCCGGCGGTCACCAGCTCCCGGCGGCATGCCTGCTGCGCGGCTGGAAATGTTACGGCGACCTCCGTCGAGCCAATCTGGTGCCGGCCGGCCGTTGGGTCGCGTCACTCCTCAGCGGCAGGAGGCGAGGTGTCCCCCCCACCCCACCACACCCGCTCAGCCTCACTCGAGCTCAGGTCCCGGCGTCGGCCTGCCGCCCTCTCCTCCCCCTCCCCCCCCCCCCCCCCTCCTCCGCCCACGCCACGAGGTGTCGGGCCGAGCTGGAACTCCATGACGCGGCCAGGGGGCGCGGCTGCTGCCTCTCTCGGCTAATGCCGGACGACGCGGGCAGGGTTCGCGGCTTAACCGACCCCGGCCGCGCCGTCAGTGGCCGCCGACACGGCACAGGCGCGGCTGCGTCGGCGGCGCCGGTGCCGCCCGCCCCGCGCCCGTTGGAGCCCCGCCAGTGGTGCTGCCTGGCACTGGCGGCGCTTGCGACCGTGACCGCGGGTGATCGCGATGTCTCGCCGCTGTGCGCCGCCGCCGCGGGGCGCGCCGGCGCTCTGTTACTGAGGCGACGGCGGTGCGCGTTGGTCGTCATGCGACCGTCAAGCCGGTCATGACTGGTGACGCGAAGATAAGCCTACTGGCAGAGGGAGTATCAGACATGGTTTGCGAGTGGATAGTTGCGATACAGTTCCTTTGGCATTCGTTGTCCCCAGTTAAGGTGAAGGTCACGTATGTTTAGATAACACTTAAAGACTGAGTCTTTTCAAAAACTGACATCTCTATTGGGTTTACGCATCACTAGTCACCACACTTCGATATAATTACGCTCATCGCCTCAGGCGCTCAGTTCTTGATAGAGCTGCTCCTCATGCAGCCACGCAAGTACGGCACCCAGCCGCCTTTCAGAGCTTATGTTCCTGCCTCCCATGCACAGCTTCTCGTCGCGTCCGCCAAAACTGAGCCTCTCGTTGACCCTGAGCTGTTATTCGGGGTGTGTGGAGTCGGCTCACATTCGCGTTCGCCTGCTTTCTCACTCAGGCCGTATTCATGGGCGCCACATGTGTCAGAACGGCCTGTATCTGGTCGGTTCGTGGCAGGGCAGATGGGCATTAGACCCAGGCGCCTCACTCTCATGGTGCCGCGTTATGAAACCCTGGTCTGTCCTGCAGCGCCCGGTGCGGACAGTTCTGCTCCTTTTCCGCCGCCACCAAAATAATTTCCTCTGTTATTTCTTGCCGTCAAGTTACGTATTGCTCATGGCCTCGCGAGTAACCGCGGCCTCATTACAGGTAACACGGTACTAACAGCCTTCTACCTCGTAGAACAACCAATAGAGTCGATAGATAGATGCGTTGATATTTCCGCTACACGCCTTTATCGAAATTATATTGCTATGCAATGTGTCAGAAGTAAATTAATTTCCTTCTGACATTCGCTCCTACAAAGACAGGTACGTGAAATATAAATGCATGCATCAATCCATTCTCCTGATTATTCTAAGCGAATAAGGTCATTGGTACTATGTTATCTATGAGCATGTTTTCGTAAATACACTTAACAAGTTACGGTCCCATTGCCGTCATGGAATACCTGTGCCAGATGTCCAGATAAACCAGAACCAATGTTCAACGTCGCAGGCTGTTCATGTAGCAGCACTATGAAAATAACTCACCATTTATAAAATCATTTAAACGGTCACCCGTCTCGTCTCAATATTACTATACAATGTGTGTATCCTGAAAACCTGTAAAACAGCATTGGATCTATGCTGCGTCCAGTTGAACCGTGTAAAGAAATGCGTTACACAATCATCAACACGGCGCGTCAACACTGTCGAACATAGTTGTTTGCATTGAGCTACTCCAGCTTCGGTAGACCACGATTACGTGACCGCTTTGCAGCTTTGCGATTTTTTTCATCTGAGTATACGAGCATACTGGAAATGCTGAAATAGGCGGGAATACGAGTCCAGCACCTTTCCCCAGACTGGAGGATTGACTCGGTCCTGCCATGGCAGGCTTGCGCTGGCGGCCGCACCAGCGCAGCGATCTGACGGCCGACGCGGCGAGCTCAGGCAGACGGTCGTGCTGGCGATGGCCAGGTTACAAACACATCAAACATGTCACGTTCACTAATCAACGGCCGAAGCAAGCCCAACTGGATACCGGGCCGGGCCCGCGCGCCGGGCTCCGTCTCACGGCAGATCGATGTTTCCGATAACGTCTTCCCTTGGCGCTGCGTAGCCGCTGCGACGGCTCCGTATGCAGCCGGCTAGTGTCTCGGCCTAGCCGCGGCGACGGCTCCGTATGCAGCCGGCTGGTGTCTCGGTCTAGCCACTGCGACGACTCCGCATGCAGCCGGCTGGTGTCCTCGGTCTAGCCGCTGCGACGACTCCGTACGCAGCCGGCTGGTGTCTCGGCCTAGCCGCGGCGACGGCTCCGTATGCAGCCGGCTGGTGTCTCGGTCCAGCCGCGGCGACGGTTCCGTACGCAGCCGGCTGGTGCCTCGAGCGTCAACACCGGAGGCGTTAGCATAATTGTACAGGCAAAATAGCCGAAATCCAGGGAAAGAAAGACGTGGTCTGAGTTAAACACCAGCTTGTGCCTGTATTGACATTCACGATTGATCGTTCTGGCCTTTTTATCCGGCAGATTCTGTTCAACGATGTCGTGCACGAAAATCGCTTAAGTTTCTGGATTGTGTGAATATAGCTTTCGGCATCCCGTTGGCTGTTGAGTTCTCTACCGTCATGGCTGAAGCCCATGCTCATTAACTCTTTTATACTCTGCCCCGGCAACTTTGCCACAAGCGGTGTCAGGGTGTCCGTCTCTGGTACAGCACTCCTTCTGTAGCCCGAAAGATATACCAAAAATTACTGGATTATACATTTCCGGTGTTTCTTTTGAGTATGATGAGGATGCCGAGTAAAAGGCTGAGTTATTATCTCTGGAGCTTTAAAAGAATATTCAATATTGCAGGGGCGGATCCAGGATTTCGTCAAGAGGAGGGGGGCGGGCGCAATATTGTGGGCCTACTAGAGATTATGGTCCCTCCAAAAATATATTCTTGCGTTTCGGTCATAAAACTTAAGGGGAGCTGCATGTAATTTATATATATATATATATATGTATATATGTATATATATATATATATATATATATATATATATATATATGTATATATGTACCTGTATGCATATATACCTATATATACCTATATGTGTAGCATCGTATGCATTTACTTATTTAATTATTTAACAAATACGGAAACCCATCTTACAATGCACAGTCGTATAAAGCTAGGCGTGCTACGGATGCATACACATAGGGCTCTCTTATTTTCTGCAGGTCATGTTAAATACGGTGATTTTGAGGCTACGTGTTTCGAAACAACAGGCAAAATAAACTTGAGTTAGATGCTAACAACGATCAGAACCAAGCATGGACTTGCTTCCTAGCTTACGTATTTTTGGTAAGTCGGCTGGGCGATGTAATCAGCTGATGGCTGATGACTAGTGTATAATTTTTCGTCTTTTGTAAAGAAGTACAAGATATCCTAGCATTCAAAATATGTTACGAACGTGATGCCTTAGTATAATAAGTGTCACACACCCAACAGCCAATGAAAATAACACATACGACGTCGGCGGCATGTAAAATTACGTTCGGCAATTGCGCGTAAAAATTCGTCAGCGCATATTCATACCCCAAGACCAACAAGGACGGAAACCTGAGCACTCGTGGGTGCCGCGGAGGCCAGCAAAGTGGCTCCCGTCAACAAGTATAGGGTCCTCAGAGCAAGCAAAACAAAATCCCAGACCAAAGTGGTGGGCCCTGAATGATCGGTAGCGCCTCGGCAGGTTGACATATAAATCCCAGGCCAGAGCACAGGACCCTGCGAGGAAAGGGGAATTATCCAAGACCATGAATAATTACCCATGTGCGATCAAGAGTCAGCGGGCATGTTAACAACACGAGCCTCGATAGGAGTGAGGAGTCCCTCCCCCTCCCCCAAATGAGACCAAGGGGAGAGAGCCCTCGATCCTCGAGCCCTCGCCCGCCAGGAACATAGAGCGTAATGAACCCCAAAGTTTTCCCCAAGCACAGTTTCTCAATCAGCGAAGTAGGAACTTCGTCTGCTCATGAACTTTTTACTTTTGCTAACAATTGTTATCGGTCGTCTGCAGGCCCAAAGACATCCAATTTTGTTGTGTTTTTGTCGTAAGAATACTGTGTCCCTCCGGCCAGTTATGGGCCCCTTCGGAGCATTTAGGTCCGCTCGGCATGGTCCATCTGGCATGGTTCGGTGCCTCCCTCCGCCCCCCCCCCCCGCCCCTCCCCCTCTGCATCTACCATCGGCCCGAGCTGCTTAATAAATGGAGCCCGCCAAGAACATAGGGCCATCCGTTCAAATAAGAAATCCTCACGACACAATGTGCAGGGCTCTAAACGATCCAGTGCGTCCGAGCAATGTAACATATAGGGCCCCCGTCAAGAGCGTAGGGCCCTCCACTCAACTAGGAGGTACCCAGGACCGAATGTAGAGGATTCCCGAATGATCGAGCGTGCCCAGGCAGGTTAACAAACGAGGCTCCCAGCAAGAGCGTAGGGCCCTCTATTGGAATGGAAAGCACCGAAGACCATATGTAAATGGCCCCAGAATGGTGGAATGTGCCCAAGCAGCTTATCAGAAGGGGCCCGACAGAAACGCAGGGGCCCCTCCATTCAAATAAGAAGTACCCAAAACCCAGTGCGGAGGGCTCCCGAAAGATGGACTATACCCGAGCAGGTTATCATGTGGCCCAGACAGGAGGGTAGGGCCCTTAATTCAAACACCAAGACCCAATATATAGGGCCCTCGAACAGTCCAGCATGAAGGGAAGCGGCAAACAGATGGGTTCCACGACAAGTGCGTAGGGTCCGCCATTCATAAAAGAAGTACCCAAGACGCAATGTGGAGGGCCCGCGGATATTCGAGTGTGCCCGAACAGGTTAACAGATGGGGCCTCGGCAAGTGCGTGGGACCTTCCGTTCAACTATGAAGTACTCACGACACGATGTAGAGGCCCCCGAATAATCGAACCCGCTAGAGCAGGTTAGGTCATATAGGGCCTCCGAAAAGAGCGGAGGGCCCTCCATTCAAAAGGGAAGTACCCAAAACCAGATGTAAGGGTCCACCACGATCGAATGGGCCGAGCATCTTATCAGAAAGAGCCCCGACAGGAGCGTAAGCCGTCCGTTCCAATAAAAAGTACCCAAAACCTAGTGCCGAGGGGCCCCCGAACGATGGGGTGTACCCGAACAGATTATCAGATGGCCCCGATAGGAGCAGAGCACCTTAAATTCAAACACCAAGAACCATTGTGCAGGGTCCAAGCAATCCAGTGCGGCCGAGGAGGCGAACAGAGGGGCTCCGACAGGTGTGTAGGGCCCCATTCAAATAGCACGTGCCCAACACCCAATGTAGAGGGCCCCCGAACGATCGAATGTGCCCGATCAGGTTATCAGATAGACCCCCAAAGGAGTGTAAGGCCCCTCCATTCAGAAAAGAAGTACCCGAGACCCAGCGTGAAGAGCCCCCGAACGACTGAGTGTGCCCAAGCAGGCCATCAGATGGGCTCCCGGCAAGAGCGTAGGGCCCTAAGAAAGTGACAGAGATTTAGAAGCGCCCTAGACCAATGAGGAGGGCTCATGAGCATATCACAAGTGTGTCGGTAGGTTAACCAAGACCCACGTAAAAGGCCCCTGGGCAACCGAGAATATCCTGGCAGGTAGAGATACGGGACCCCGGCTATAGCCCACGGAGCCTTTCCGGCGATTGGAAACAATCCGTGGAAGGGCCCGTGATTGACAGGAGTGCCCGACACGCTAACAGGAGGGGCCCCAACAACAGCGCAGGGCCTTCGGAGTAAATGCAAAGAAATGAAGGGCAACGTGGAATGCTTCTTAGCGATCGAAATGATCTTGCAAGTGGGCATATATGTCCCGCGAAAACAGCATAGGGCCCCTAGACAGTGTAATGAGGCTTAAAACTTCCAGTTCACAACTTTTCCAATCATTGATTTTTTTGCTTTTCATAGGGTCTTCACGTTTCCTTTCAACTGTTTCTGGTCGTCTGGAAGTCAAGCGATATCCAGTTTTGTTGCGTTTTGTGCTAAAAAAAAACTGCACCTGTTCGGGCCCCTTCTGAGCCAATGGGCCCTTCGGGGCCCAAGGGGGGCTGGCCCCGTGCCCCCCCCCCCCTCTGGATCTTCCCCTGCGATGTTGTATACAATGTACGGACATACGGATACACGACTCATGAATTGCATGCTTATAAGTCAGAGGAATACGAATACAGACTAAAACCGAATTCAAATATGGCATAAGCTCATTATTCCTTTTCCTCTCTGGTGATTTGGGGACAGGGTAAGGTTCGGCATTACTTTTTTGCTATCAAATATTTCGAGGCAAGAAATGCAGAAGACGGTCGTCGGTTCCAGGGCATGACTTAATGAAGTGCGTTTATCAAATATCGGATCCACCCTTGGCGTCGGGCGGCATGTTGTGCACCAGGGACGTCCTCATTGGAGTCCAGGCGCGTGCATGTTCCCGACGTCGAGGGACTTGCCATTTGTCCGTCAAAGCTAGCCCATTGACGCCAAAGGACAGGAAGGCATTCTTGATGACTTAACGATGTAAAGAAAAGAAATTAGCGCTTTCACTTGGGACACTCCGATCTAACGGTTGATCAATACTCCACAGATGTAGTCGGTACCTGAAGAGCCTTGCTTGATTCGCCAGTATCACGAGGTGTGCAAAGTGTACGGGATAATGTGTTAGGCACGTCACCGGTCCAAAATGACGGCCACCTTCTACTCACTACGCCGTCTCTCGCCACAGGCAGAGGACAAGAAGAAGGGCGGGATCGACATCAAGCGCTTCCAGGAGCTGTACGCCCAGTTCATCGGCAACCCAGACGAGACGATTGGCGCTGTCTTCCTCTTCGGTCCGCTGACAGAGCTCAGCTAGGTGCCCGCTGCCCGCCCCCGCGCTCGAGCCCCGGCGGCGGCGGACGCCGCCCGCGGCTGTGACCTCGCTGACGCCGCGCCGCCCTGCTGACCCCGGCGCAACGCGGACCGGCCCCGGGCGGCGCCCGACCCCGCGAGCAGAGGCGCCGCGTCTCGTCGCAGGCGCCCTCTGTCTCTCTTCCCTCTCAGCTCTCTCTCCTGCTCTCTCCTCTCCCGCTCTCGCCTTCTCCGTCCTTCTCCAGCCGCCGCGCTGTTCCGCGGCCTGTGTTCGGCCGCCGGTGCCCGCCTTTCGCGTCGGCAGCCCGACCGTGTGCCGTGCATCGGAGGTCGTCAACGGTGATGACGAAATACATCCGCCGCCCAGTCCGGCCGTCTTTGTCCAATACCGTTCTCCGGTGAGATGTCCACTGCGCGTCGTTGGTAACCAACATAATGTAACCAAATGTTTCCGATTGGAATTTTAGCTGCCGGCAGCATGCGGGCGAGAAACTCGATGAACGCATTTCCGTACCGAAAACATACGAGGTTATATGTTACGGCGAAGCTTAATCACGTACCACATCTCTGCTAATGGAGACGCATTTTCCGTCCCTCCAGATTTCGTCATACCGCCCGGGGTTTGCAAAGGAGTGCTGTAAGCCAACACCTGATAGCATTGCATGTTTTGCCATCTCGAGACACGTCTGTCAGTATTTCCCATGATGAGCCAGCATTGCCAGCACCAGTGCAAAACTTCACGCCAGTCCATAATTCACGCCAGTTCATCATAAGACGGGCACTCTGAAACTTTATCGGTGTACGGCGCCACCCGAGGCACAGGGTGGTGCCGGGGCGCACTGGCATGCGGCGCAGCATAACAAGCAGGGGCGCAGCCCTGAGGCGCAACGGCGGCTGCTCCCGGCCGGGTCCAAACCAATGGTCTTCAGACTGCTTTGAATGTGCGCCAATTTTCCGATGTCATGATGGTCCGTTGTCATCATGTCGTAACTGTCAATGCGAACTGGTGATTCGTTGAAAAACCAACACGAGAGAGAGAGAGAGAGAGAGAGAGAGAGAGGTAGAGAGAAGAGAGAGAGAGATAGCGCGAAGAGAGATCAGAGAGAAGAGGAAGAGAGGGAGAAAGAGAGAGAGAGAGAGAGAGAGAGAGACGGAGAGAGAGATAGTAGGAGAGAGAGAGAGGAGAAGAGCGAGAGTGAGAGAGAGAGGGGCCGAGAAGAGAGAGAAGAGAGAGAGAAGAGAAGAGAAGAGAGGGAAGAAGGAGAGAGAAGAGTCGAGAGAAGAGAGAGGAGGAGAAGAGAGAGAGAAAGAGAGGAGAGAAGAGAGGAGAGAAGAGAGAGAAGGAAGAGAGAGAGAGAGAGATCAGACGAGAGAGAGGAGAAAAAAGAGAGATAGAGAATAGAGAGGAAGATGAGAGAGAGTAGAGAGAGAGAGAGAGAGGAGAGATAGAGAGAGAGAAGAGAGAGAAGAGAGGAGATGAGAGAAGGAGAGAGAGAGAGAGAAGAGAGAGATAGAGAAGAGAGAGAGAGAAGAGAGAGAGAGAGAGAGAGAGAGGAGAGAGAAGAGAGAGAGAGAGAGAGAAAGAGAGAGAGAGGAGGAGAGAGAGAGAGAGAAAGGAGAGAAGAGGATATAGAGAGAGGAGATGAGAAAAGAAAGAGATAAGAGAGAGAGAGAGAGATAAAAAGAGGATAGACATAAATAAGTTCAACATGCAGGCAGTGTATTGTCATATATCGGTGTTCGCATAAGCACCTTTGCATTACACGGGAGCCACGCGCACAATGCTCTCATGCATCTGATCAATGGTGCCATCGCAAAGCATCCATATGCTAACTTGATGGCACTAATGCCTCAACAACATAAGACGAAACATTTCTGGCGCCGCAGTTTGAACCATCATGACATCAAACTGGGTACATCCAAATGCACACATATTCGGCAGGGCGCCGTCGAACGTGCACAATCCAACGGCTTTGAGCTGAATTCTGCTCACACTGCTCCATTTGCCGTCAGCGTTGTACTCAGCATATGCTAGTCATAAGGTTTGTTCATGGACAATCCCCGTATGCAAAAGAAGTGCACAAAGCCAGACATCTTACTGAACCAGCGTATGGCAGATCGGCGTGAACTGGGCGACCAAGTGTTGCGGTGTCCAGCAAAATTGTTCTCGCGAAAAGGTGTTTTTTTACTCAGTCTTTTTAGTTTAGGTGAGCCAAAATTGCCTGTCCGCCTAACAGCTCAGCAATGTTGTTCGCCGGACAGTGCGGATAAACTGGGTCCACTTCTTCAACACGGCATTCTCAGCAAGAAAAAACCTGAACATTGTCCTTAGCATCATTCATGTGGGAGGACACTGACAGAGCGTGCCATGCAGCAGTCCTGCAGCGTCGTCATCAAGTGTCAGGAGCCGCCCTCTAACCGGAGGGAGCTCTGCATGCCAGGGATCTATCCCAGGGTTCAGTGAGCAGCGTCATCGGGGTACCGGCGTCTGATGACGTCAGCTGGACGCGCCAGCGTCAGCAGCAGCCCCACTTGGAACCCGAGGTGATGCGTCGAGTGAGGCTCAGTTAGCATGTAGCATGTTAGCTGACGCAGGTACGCCAAACATGGAGAAACTGTCGTGTGGCTGTAGTCGTGGAGCAGGTTCATGGGTTCACAAAGCAATTTTTGATTTCACCGCAAAATGCGGCATCATAATCTCAGGAAATATGGCGCTTGAGGGTTTTATTATTCCATGTTGCCACCCTAATTCAACGCATCACCTTTGTTATTCAGCAGGTGTTTAAAACTCAAGGAAAGCCGTTGACAAAAAGCCTGTATGCTTTCCAGCCCTGAGCGGTTGACCCATGAATGACCACATAATGAAATCATTCTCGTGCCGGGTTCGGTGGAGCTAGTATCTCAACCTTTCATCAGATTCATGGCATGATTGTCATTCACACAAACTCCACGCGAACACGAATTTGTCATAGGCTGCATATGCGTCATTACATCGCACTCACATCAACAAGAAGTGCTTCAATCGATCGCGCCGAATTCACACATTTAAGATTCGTAAGTGCTGCGGCATCTTGGAAACTTCACAGCTTCCTCAGACCTTTGAACCTTAGCAAACGGCTTCACCTTGGAACCTGTAGTACCTCTTGACATTATTTTGATCAGAAGAAAGTAGATCATCTCGAAGAGCGACACGATCGAGAAGCCCAGAAACAATCCGAGAAGACCTCCAAAGTTTGCTGGAATAGGAACAAGGCTTGTTAGCAGTCCGCAGTCAAACCAAATGACCAATGAGCATCGTGCATTGCCTGTGATTGCAACGCACACAACACCATAGCATCGAGTACAGCACGCACTCAAACGAACCAGGGAATTCATCACTATTGCTGATGGGTAGATATCGACAAAGCTGACCCGGTCTGTCAGGACGATGCAACATGTTGTCCGGGCAATAGAGACCACTCAAACTTGCCAACGAAACTGTGAAGTTCATTCAAAGTTTCCCCCAAGCTTATTGCCATGGAACATTCTTCAGCGGAGCCCAAGGCCAGCGGTCACTCTCTGGCAACGACCCCGGTCTGCAACGGGGCGAGGCAGAATGACGCCCCTGCCAGCCGTCAGCAGTCTGTGCGGAGTTGGACTGGGCCGCGTGCACTGTAGCCCGTGTGGCTCGTGTGTTCTGCTCTCGGGACGCTTAAACACACTTCCCCGAGCTCCAAGCGGCTACCTCGGGATGAGATGGGAGCTTTGATAATCTAAAAATGAGCTATCGTACTGAAGACAGCAACTGTCATGCGTCACCCATTACCAGACATGCGGCTGAGCATCGCTAAAACAACGGGGACCATTGACCAGTGCTCCGACAACAGGGGACGAGCTATCGGCGAGAGAAGAGCGGCGAGCCTTTCGATGACGCCCTCCTGGGTGAATGTGTCTCCATCGTCTTGTATCGCTACGACGGTACAGGCCTGAGGTGCGTGCGCATCACACGCATCTGCCGCAATCACTGTCGCTGAGCTGCACACGCTGAAGAGCAGAGAGGTGAGGTGGCGACTACGCTGGACAGTTCGCTGCCTTGCGTCGCTAGGGTCTAAAGAAAAACAAGACACGCCAGGCACAAACTGACCAGTAAGGAGTCCTGCTATTGCGCATATGATTGCCTGCCGCGCATAATTGCCTACCACGACTGCTTGCCGCCCAATTGCGTGTCACATAAAACGTGACAATTGACAGCAGACGTGCCAATGGAAGTTTACGGCTGATGACTGCGTCCCCAAACACCTGTTTCGTCTCTCGGTAATTGCACGCGACTGTACATCGCGAGGCTCGCCGTCGATTGTAAGCGTTCCAGCGCCACGGCTGGGCCCCGTGCTGTGGTTAGTCCATGATTACGCGGAGCTGGCTGCCACCGCCGGTGTTTACCATGAAGAAAGCCACAGTCAAACCCTGCCACCTCCACAGTAGCTGTGCACGATGTGAGCCTGTGTGCTGTAGCGCGGTCATTACAGACCGTTTGGAACTGGTAGGATTGGAGCTGGCTGTTACCGCCGGTGTTTGCCATGAAGAAAGTCAGATGTCAAACCCTGCCACCTACACAGTAGCTGCGCACGACGTGAGCCTGTGTGCTGTAGCGCGGCCACTACAGACCGTTTGGAACTGGCAGGATTGGAGCTGGCTGTTACCGCCGGTGTTTGCTACGGAGCGAGCCATAGTCAAACCCTGCCACGTCCACAGAAGCTGCGCACGATGTGAGCCAGTGTGCTGTAGCGGGCCACTACAGACCGTTTGGAACTGGCAGGATTGGAGCTGGCTGTTACCGCCGGTGTTTGCTACGGAGCGAGCCATAGTCAAACCCTGCCACGTCCACAGAAGCTGCGCACGATGTGAGCCAGTGTGCTGTAGCGGGCCACTACAGACCGTTTGGAACTGGCGGGATTGGTAGTGCGGCCGTGATGTTCATCAGAACGAAGACTACACGTATAATGTCACTTTGCACATTTTAACGGTGAGCCGAAAGAGATGACTTCCGGTCGGACGCATTGGTGCATAGTCTAGGCCTGG